GTACACAATAATGTTTAAATGCTTCACTAATCATGTTTAATAGAAAATAACATAAAAAATAACATAGAAACATAGAAAATATATACATATATATATATATATACATATAATATATTATACACATATGCAAAGTGTTTTGTAATGACGCATAATCTGCTCTTATTGGGCAGGTAGAGCAGGCAAAATTGAATCGAAAAGTCCTTTATCATTTTTGCAATTTTCGCAATATTTAACGAAATATTAATTTTTAAATATTGCAGAATAAACAGATAAAATCGATGCACAAGACAATTTTAAGATATTTTTCAAAATTCTTTATGAAATACCTTAAAGATGTTTCTTGAAGAACTCTTAAAGTTATCTTAATTATGCATCGATTTTCGAGACATTCTGCTCATTGGGTAACTAAAAAAAGAAATTGCGAAAATTGCAAAATGGTAGAGGACTTTCCAATTCAGTTTAGTCGGCCACTTTACTGTCCACGAGAGATTATAATATATGTATATGCGGTCATTACCGGACATTATGTATATATAAAATATGTATCGTCGCGCACATAGTAATTAACAAAAATTGCAAAATTTTGAAATTTTATACTTCACTTGTCATTAAACGCTTTCATTACGCAGGGCGGTCTAAAGGCAGTGGTATGGTCAGACACAATACAATTTTCCGTAACCGTCGGAGGACTCTTTTCGGTTCTTGTACTGGGGATAATATCTGTTGGTAGCGTTGGGGAAGTGTGGAGGATTTCCGGCCAAGGCGGTCGTCTCATTTTCTTTGAGTAAGATAAAAAAGGAATGAAAAAAAAAAGATTTTCTCTTCATTTTATTATTTATGTGTATATTAATTCATTAATTGTTAGTGCTAAATTTTAAGAATGCTTCCTTTATTAGCATGGATCCGAGTCCGTTCGCGAGGAATACTTTTTGGGGTATGACTATAGGTATGACGACAATATGGATCGGACATCTCGGCATTCATCCAGGTACGGTGCAGCGATTCCTGTCAGTGCCCAGAGAGATTGACGCTAAACAGTAAGCCTCTTTCAATCTATTCCTGCAAATTGTAAACTCGCGCCTTTAAAGAATTAAAGCGAATTTTAGAAGAGCCAGAAAACTTTGTTAGCAAAATAATGTATACATATAATAGTATACATATAATCGTCTTCTTTTTCTGTATACATAGCGGACTGGCGATTACGGCGGTAGGAATGATAATTGTCAAACTGATCTGCGTATTCACTGGATTAATCATGTTTGCGAAATATCATGATTGCGATCCTTTCCTGACCAAAGTATGTATAACATATTTACAAATTGTGCGTTTCGATATATATATATATATATTTTATATATATATATATATATTAATTAAGTGTTTAAGAGACGAAAGTGTTTGTCGATTTTTATTTTTCTGTTATATGCTACGTTTAGTTTACATTACACGTAATTATGATATTTCGATCGCAGAAAATTATAAATTTTTTCGTTCGAGCAGTCGATAAGTCGCACCGACCAGACTCTACCGTTCTACGTAATGGACGTTGCTGGGCATCTGCCAGGACTTCCGGGATTATTCCTAGCTGGTCTAGTGAGCGCTGCACTCGCGACTATGAGCGCCAGTTTGAACACCGTATCCGGTACCATTTATGAAGATTTTATAAAACCGTGGATTCCGGATAGCCCCAAGAAGGAAGTTACAGCCGCCAACATTATGAAGGTACATATTGCCATAATTTTTATTGCCCTCTTAAGAGGAGGAGTCTTTTTAAAAAATTGAGGATTAAGGTTGATTAATAAAAGTTCCCTAACATATTGCATTTTTCGTGAGTGTGCGTTAGTTAGTTCACCTCACACGCTAGGCACGTTATGCCAATGTAACGCTTGTAAACAACGTGTCTCAATTTAATCCATTCTGCCACTTTACGAGAGTTTTATCGTTAGTTATCAAACATCCTGTGTGTGTAATGAACCTGTTTCTCATCAGGGCATCGTTGGGATAGCCGGAGCGATTTCAGTTGGTCTGGTGTTTCTGGTCGAACGGCTAGGACCAGTCTTCCAAATAGCTGTAAGTACGCGTGGCATCACCGACGGACCCTCGTTGGGCCTGTTCGTATTAGGAATGCTAGTACCCTGGGCAAACGCGAAAGGTGCGTTACTCGGCGGTTGCGTTGGTCTCATCAGCATGCTTTGGCTGGTAGGAGGCACTCAATGGTACACCATGCATGACAAAATTAAATATGATTCGTTACCCACGTCGGTGGCTGGTTGCCCGTATCCATTAAATCAGACTTTTTCAACCACGATAAGGCCTACTTGGATGAACTCTGACGAGGAACCTATGATACTCTTTCAAATATCCTTCATATATTATATCTTGATAGGAGCGGGAATCGTTGTCATCGTCGGCACTATCGCGAGTTATTTCTTCGGCATAGATCTCGAGGGCGTAGATCCCGATCATATTACACCGGTAATGAAAAGGTATGATACCATATGTAATATTAGATATATATTTCCAATTATAACTTATGTATAAGGATGTTATGTCGAATTATGATACAATTGTTCGAATTCCGAGTAATGAGTTAAAAATTTAAGAGAAGGTCTATCTTTAAGAAGAGAGAAGAGGAAACTATCTTTAATTACAACATACCCATATATTTATTATTAAT